CGCTCCCGCTGGAAAGAAGCCCCTCCTCCCGCTGCCCTACGTGGATGTGTCCGATCTGAGCCGATCGCTTTGCGGCAAAACATGTTTTATATTTACAGATGGTGGCAGAACAGCTGTGAAAATTCCACAGCATAAAGCCATGATTAAAAGATCATCTAGCATTTTTAGTGTGGAATTACTTGCCATAATGTTAGCTTTAGAATGGTTGCTTGATGAAAATGTTAGGGAATAAATTAAGTATAGAATTGCATCAGATAGTCAAGCTGCTTTATTAAGTATCAAATCTGGCAAATCTAGTAGATTCGATTTATTATTAGATATATATTACCTATTAGTTTCTCTTCGTAATAAGAAATGTTTGGTTCGAATTGTCTGGATTCCTACGGTGCAAACTAACATTACAAAATCTAAAAAACTTTTACAAGTTCCAAAACAACTGATCATCTGACAAAAGCAATTTACATTTTAGAAATCAAAATAAACAAAACACTTTTAAAAATTCTTTTTTAAAAATGGTATGCAATGCAAAAGCTTGCGTTGCATACCATTTTTTTCTATGTGCATCATTTAAATATTTATATTTAATTGTTGTAAAAGCATGTACTATCTGGGATATTTATTGATTTATTTTGTTGTCTTTATAGGGTTGAGATGCACATAACACTTCCAGAAATTTTCGCAAATCTTTTGCTTCCTATTGATCATAAAAGAGTCAGCAGGTTCAACATCTCAAGGGCTAATTTTTGGGAGGGAGCTGTCAGAGGTTTCAGGCGTTCATCAATACCAATAATGCAAATGTTTATGAGGAGGGAATCGACGCAGGTGGTCCAAGACGAGCATTTTTAACTCTGCTAATGAAACACCTGAGAGACAGACCTATTTTTGATGGACCCGAGGGAGATCGGTTCTTGGTCTACAATGCAAATAGTATGCATAGTGTTTAATATGTGCTATACTAATGGATGTTCAATGATAACTACCATACTGACCCGAATATAGGACAACCCTGATTATTAAAAAGAAAAAAAGACTGACAAACCAAATTTAATTGGTTTAAAGAAACTGTTTTATATTAAAGTGCTACAATTTAATGGGAAAAAAATTTGCATTGAAAGAATTGAAAGAAAAAAAACACAGTTATGAACAGATTTAATGGAAATCTTACAACACTTCAACTCGATTGCAATCTGAACTTTGCTCACAGCAAAAAGCTTTTCTTTTGCTTTTTTGCATTTTTCTGCTCCCTTGGAACGTGCCGTCTTCTGACATTCTCTGTAACGCAGTATTTCTTTGTTGTCTGACACTTGTTTGATGCCTCCTTATTTTAAAATTGCCGTCATAACTCCGCCTCAAATTTCTGCAAACTTGTCTGACTTTTGATCCACTCCGTTCTGGGCAGCGACTCTCCATTTGTAGGATCCTTGTCACATCTTCTCTGCTGTGATAGAAAGATGACCCCAGCCACAGTGAGGTCACTGGCTTTACAAAAAAACTGGCGCCCTCTGCTGTTGTGTTCTTGTAGCGACCCCAGACAACTTCCAGCCTGTATAAGTGGTTAGACGCCTATTTATGTGACATACCACATATTTTTTTGTCCATCATAATATATAATGTGAGTTTTAATTTTACAATATGAATTATTTCACAGCTGTTGGGGGGGGGGGGGGGGAGGGGGGTGAATACTAATTTCCTTGCTGACCAGCCTTCATTCAGATCAACACTTAATTTAAAAAGTGATGAAGAAACAGGGAAAGCTTTGAAAGGGGTGAGGATAAAATCTATGGTTGTAGGTTCTGCACTGTTTTTATGATCTTTAATTTCTACATCAAAGAAACGTTTGCAGAACTACTAATTTAAGGTCAGTGTTGCCAGATTGGGAGCGTTTCTGAATAGTTGGGCTGCTTTTGAACGGATTGGTCGAGATTAATACACAGTCATTTGCCGTGTTGCTTATGCCTCTTTGTCTTTCAGATTGAAAAGACTGGAAGCTCTATAAGAATGTATCATGAGACACAGCACAATGTTGCAGAATGCAGGCTGTTTGAGGCATGTGGCTGCTGTGGAAGAACAAACTGAAATTGTCGCAGACTTTCTCCATTGGTACATCATTGGAAGCAAGATATTTATAATGTCATTTTTTATTTATTTATAAATGGTTGGTTTGAAATGCTTCATGCCATGTTTATTAGTAGAGCCACAAGTTCAATTTTGCAATCGATTAATTTGTGAACTAGTGTTTTTGATTAATTGATTATTAATCGGATTGCAAAAAATTATTCATAGATTTTTTTTTTTTTTAAGAATTTGAACTAGATTAACCTAAAACACATATTTGAGAAGCTCTGGATAGAGTATTTTTTTTTTCCAAAACATTTCTCCTAAATCCAAAATTAAGTTTATGTACAGCTTTGGTTTAGTTTCAGTTTTGAGCAGGCTGTTTGTTTAGGTATTACAGTCCAGTCTGTATATTCTGGTTAACAACTGATTACAAAATTAGTAGACAATTATTTTATCAATCTAATCATCATGATTAATCTGAATAATTGTTGCAGTGTGGCTACTAATTATTAGTCAAAGTGGCAAACATGTTTGCCTTGGAGAACAACATCTACTCAGCTGTGTAACCATCTGTTCCGATTCAGTGATTGTCTTTCAGCCCTTCAGGTCCTGAACGCACTACAGAAACATCCTACTTTGCTGACCCCTGACCTTTGCCACTGTGGAAAGCGACTGAATGGCTTTGAACTTGAAAGACTCTTCAAACCTCAACTCAGAAAGAAAGTCTAACCATGTCCTATTGGGCAAGACTATCTCTTGGATTGTGAAGGTTTGTGGGAATTTTTTTTGTACCTACTTTGAAAGTCACATTACTTTGCTATACCTAATTTTTTATTTTATTTGCAGAAGGCGAAGCTGCTGTTTCTGTGGAAAACATGTTGATGCAACTGGGCTGACGTCCCTTCCTCCATCTGGCTTAAAACCTGTGCCACAGATAGATTTCCTGGATGACTCTCCATTTCCAATGGCAAACACGTGTTCAAACTTGTTAAAATTACCACTTCTGGATTCATACAGCGTGTTTAAGTCACAAACGGACTTTGGAATTCAAAATAGTCCAGGATTTGGTTGTCTGTAAACCTTATGGCAGGATAACTCCTACAGCAGTGTTTTTTAACCTGGTTCTCGAGGCCATGATTTTAGCAATCGTGTTTTAGATATTTGTCTGCTTCAGCAAACTTGATCTCAGTTAAAAACTGATTAATATTTAATTCACTGCAAACAGGTGTGTTAAAGCAGGAAAAAGTCTAAAACATGGTGGTGTGACTTGAGGACCAGGATTGGTAAACACTGTCCTACAGCTTGGACTGTAAAATGTTTGTTCTTTGAGATTATGTGCACTTTAACCCTGTAATGCCAAAAGTATCCTATTTGATACATACGGTTTCTGAAATGTTTTGCGTCTGACACCTTTTGCATAATTTAATGGTAAAAACTTTGCTCAAAATCCTATTGTACACAATCAGATATACCTGATAACAAAGGGCAGAAGACTAAACAAAAAATAATCTTGACTTATCGCATAGTAATAAATTATTAATATCAAAAATTTATTTCTGTTTTTTTTCTTTTTACATATTTTGTTAAAAGGCCAAATAAGGACTTCAAACAAAAAAAAAGTAATTTTCTGTTTTGTTTTATTCTTGGATCGGGCTTTAAAGGGTTAAGTTGCAGGTTTTTTTGTGTGAAAATGCAAATAAATTGGGGCAGGTTGGCATGTTTTTTGTTTTTCCCCACAGACATCTGGACATTTTTTTAAAATCCATTTTAATTTATTCCCCACTTTTAAATATGGGAGCTGTGGGTGACCAATTGTGTCAATTTTCCACTGTTGTCACAATAGAGTTTACTTCATTTCATAGCTGAGCATTTTCTTTTAGTTTCAGACACAGTTCAGTTGAAGACTGCCAGTGTTCCGGCTTCTGTAAATGACTTTGCTCCATTGCAAAGTCCAAGTATCCATGTCTGGATCCCTACAAGGAGCTCTTCTCAGATGAGCCTCATTAAATATATCCAGATTAGTATAATAGTATAGTATAATAATCTATTCTCAACCTCATGGGGATGACACCAAGGTTTTGCACATATGACAGGAAATAGTGAGTGATTACAGATGGGTCATTATTTGATGCTCACCATTGAAGCCACAGTACTTTATGAGAAAATCCATCAATACACCCTGAAATAGCCAACCTGCAAACAAAATAAAATATTGTTATTGTTAGGAGGAGGAGAGGACTCTGCAGAATAGATGGAACATGGATAAAGGTGGAAGAAATTATAGTATACAGAAATCTATTAATGCCAAGGGTGTGGTTAGAAAGAATAGAAGAGAGGAGACTATTTTAACAAGGCTAAGATATGATCATAGAGGGTTTAATAAAACATTATTTTTATTACAGAAAAGTGAAACAGATGAATGTATAGAATGTAAAGTAATAGAACATGTAGAACATATTCTATTCTATTGTAGGAAATACGATGAAGAAAGGATAAAAACAAAAAAACAAGACAAATAAGAAAGGGATTGAATTTAAAAGGATTCATAGGAACAACAGGAGAGGAGATAAAGGAAATGCAGAAAGTTTTATTAAATATCTTATGAATGCAAGATTATTAGATTAGATTAGATTTAAAGGTATGTATATGTATATATGAATGGATGTATATTTGTGTATATATATATATATATATATATATATATATATATATATATATATATATATATATATATATATATATATATATATATATATATATATATATATATATATATATATATATATATATATATATATATATATATATATATATATATATATACAGATATATATAAAGTTATCATCACATTGTTATTGCCCACGCTACATACTCCGGTACAGTAGGTGGCGGTATGCACCTAAAAGTTAAGGTTGCAATCTGCCATTAAACAAAAAGAAGAAGAAGACTGTGGGTCCCGCAGCAGCAGCAGCAGCGTTAGCTTCCTTCCTCCGTGGAGTGTTTGTAGAGAGGCTGATGATGTGTGAGTGTTTGCAGGGAGAATGTGTTCAGTCCAGCTTCAAGGAGAGTTTATCAGCGAGCAGTTAACTCCTGCTGAAGAAACATTGACGGAGGTTAAAGGAAGAGAGAAAAGGCCCAAAGTGGAGATGGACGATCAGCACAGACTGCTGGATTTCACCAGGATCCCCCAGATCATCTTACACCGGATAGGTAGGAAACACCTGATAGAAACGATTCCCTCAGGATGCAGACTGAGGGTTGGAGCCTCAGCTGATTGGAAAACTCATTAGAGGAGATCAACATGCTAAGCTAAAGCTAGCTTCTGCTTCAGCTAAAGGGCTGTTCCACCTCTTTTCTCTCCACTTTAACTGTCTTTATTCTGCTCTACTCTAAAAACTTCAGAACTCAGACACTTCTGACCTGGATTAGATAATCCAAACTAAGCTTGAAAAGTATTTAAATTGGACCATGAATGAAGTGTATGAACCCTAATGGCAGCCAGTGACCAATAAATCATGTAATGTCACTGTTAAAAAAAGAAAATAAACCCACGAACAAAAATTCAGTGGAACCGTAAGATTAATTTGAAAAAAATCCTGGTAACCATGGAAACCAGCTTTCAGGTCCTACCCTCAGCCCGTCTCCAAATAATCCCACAGTGACTAACCTGTGAGAGTAACGTTAGGCTGGTGAGAAAAAGAAGAAACATTTTTTTTATTATTAAATTCACTAATAGATTTTTTTGTTGTTGTTGCCCAAAAAAAGGATTTAAAAAAAGCATAAGGATTTTGATTTCTGAATTAGGGATGTTCTTTACTGAGTGCTCCCATCAGAGAGAACCTGTCTGATTAGAACAAAAGGAAAAAAGTTACACGAAGCTGCGTATTGCGCTGTGAACTGGTCCATCTTAAGCTGCGACTTTGGTAAAGTTAGAAAGATAATTACAGATTCGCTCCAATTACCGAATCTATAACTCCTTAGCGGATAATTTCTTTTATGAAACCGACACTTCCAGGTAACCACAGCAAGGCAGACCATGAACTACAACCGTAGTTTCCTCAAAACAAGTCTCCCACTGTGCTGGAAGAACTGCAATGGACTCTATGCAGAATTCGCCAGTCTGCAGGTGCTTAGGGACCGTCTGCAAGTTGCAACACCAGAAAAGTATTCATAGAGAAATATTCAACAGCATCACCAAGGAGAGGTGGATTATTATCAAATTAATTTCATGTGTGTCTGATCTCACGTCTTTCATACTGCATTTATTGGATTGGAAAATAACGCATTACATTTTTTTAAGAATTCCCCATAGCCTAAATGGCAAAAATATTCATTAAAGTCTAAGTGAAGGATAGGAAATAAATCCATCGAAAATAACGCTTTACTGTATAAATTAAATAGCTTTCGATAAAAGGCGTTCATTATAATCTGGTTTTATCATTGAGATAATTATTAGAATAGCCTAAGTATAAAATGAGCAATAACTACAATACAATAATAAATACAGTAAACTTGTAGTATACATATATTACCTCACCTGGATCTAGGGCTGCAACAACGAATCGATAAAATCGATAAAAATCGACTTTTAAAAGCGTTGGCAACGAATTTCATCATCGATTAGTTGTGTCGCGCGATTAATGCGTCATCCGCCGCCGCCGTCATCACATCCACTTGACTGAAACGGGGGAAGAAGAAAAAATACGGCAGAGCGAGTCAGCGCTGCAGGTGCAGTGTTGCCAACTCAGCGACTTTTCAGACCCCTCCAGCGACTATTTTTCAAAAAAAAAGCGACTAGCAACAAATCTGGCGACTTTTTACGGTGTCACTGGCGGCTTTTGGGGACTCTTACGTGAAAGCATGTATCGTTCCTACTCTGCCGTGGGGCGCCTCCCCCATCCCAACCCCGTTTTCCCGCAGGAGTCCCTCTCAGCGCTGCAGTCAGAGCCGCAGGATGTTTCAGCGTCCAGACTGCAAATGAAGCGCGCATGCGCTGGGATTGACGGCGCAAATTGATCACAATAATTAAAATAGCCTGCGCTTTGTACAGTGAAAAAAGTCGTAACGTGCAACTTTTGTGAAAACAAATTAACATGGCATGGAACCACCATGTTTGGTTGGTTTTAAAGTGGGGAAACGTAACGTTAGTTTCTCAGGTAGCTAATCTGATGCTTTCCTTACCGTGTTAGTAGGTTACAGACAGTGATAAGGTTGGCTACTTATTTTACTTTTAATTTCATTTGAATTAGCTTAAGCAGCGTTTATATTTTCTTTATAAATAAATTAACTTGCAAATTATGAGGGCAAGGCTTTTGAAGTTTAAATCTTCTGGCAAAGATAAAGTAAAGAAGATCCTGCAATTTATGGAAGTAAAGCAGAATAAAATCCAGCAAGATCAGTAATATGTCAATTAATTATCTGCCACATTCCCATGTAAATATCTGTCTTTGGAGGATGTGTTTTTTAGCACCCCTAGTTCTCTCATTTTTATTCCAAATACAATTTATAATTTGAATCACAGGCTATTTTTATCTCTATGGTTCAGTATTTTCTCAAGTAGCAACTTTAACTGCTATACTTTCCTGTCTTAAAAGGCAGAACTCTTCTAGTCTAAAAAAAACAAATTTGATGAAATGGGGGGGCCTATTGTTTGAACCCCTTAGGGGCTTTTAAAAACAAAAATGTCTTTTTTTGCGCTTTATGAAACAAAGTATATCTATATTTTGTGGATGTATAGCTACATTTCTCATGTAAGTTTGCGTAGTTTTAACACAAACATTAATTTTTCATATTGCACCAGTACAGTTAATGAGCAACCTGTACTTGTGTGCTTGTTTGTTCTGTCTAAAATGTTTATTTTGGAATAAAGAGGTTAATATAAAAATATTTTTTGTCCGATTCATTGATTAATCGAAAAAATAATCGGCCGATTCATCGATTTTTAAAATAATCGTTAGTTGCAGCCCTACCTGGATCACACTACAGCACTTTCTTTGGGAAAATATACTTAACTTTAAACCTGTAGCACACATAGATAACCTCATCTAAATCATACTACAATCTTAATTTGGGAAAATGTGCATTTCTATTTTTTTTTTCAAATGTTCTTGTTGTTATTTTAGGCATATAATTGCCAGTAATTACACTATAGATCATAGTAGGGCCACCAAACATGTAGGATACATGGATAACCTCGCCTGGATCATGGTACAACTCTTATTTTGGGAAAATGTGTTTAACTATATTTTATGCGTGCACAAGCAGCTACACTGAAAAACAGGCCAATCTCCAACATCTATAAACAAAGATGTTGATGGCAGCAGCACAGCTGATGTTTCTCTCCAGGATGGAGTCACAGCCAAACAGGAACAGACCAGATGAAGCTACTATGAGAAAAAGCAGAGAGAGCAGAACGTTAGAGATTGAACTAACAGATTCTGCAGAGTGGGAGAATAGAGATAGAATGAAGCAGAATGATGAAAAAGGGGTCCCTATGTCCTCCAGCAGTCTAAGCCTATAGCAGCAGAACTATAGAGATAGATCAGGATAACCTGAGCCACTCTAACTAGAAGCTTTATCAAAAAGGAAAGTTTTAAGCCTAGCCTTAAAAGTAGACAGGGTGTCTGCCTCACGGGCTAAAACTGGTAGTGACTTTCACCAGAGCTGTTTCAGTGCTATGATGAGCTCTAAAGCCAGCTCTTCAAAAACTTCATTATGGTGTAAGTGATCATACACTTGTTTGGCAACTACTTTCTGAAGAATTTCAGATAAGAAAGGAAGATTGGATATAGGTCTATAATTGACCAAGTCATCTGGGTCAAGAGACGGTTTCTTAAGCAAAGGTTTAATTACAGCCTTTGGTAAAGCCTTTGGTACATATCCCTGTAACAGGGAGAGACTAATCACATTTAAAATGGCCGATGAGATTAAAGGGTATCCTTAAAATAACCTGGTTGGAAGTGGATCTAACATACAAGTTCAAGGCTTAGATGAAGACAGTAGTTTTGCTAACTCTGAAAGTTCAACTGAATCAAAAAGTCTAAACCTGGATCAGATTCTATGGCTACCTCAGATGCTGCCTCACCTGCCATAGATAAACCAATCGTTGATAGAGCAGCGCTAATGATGTTATTTTAAGATCAATCTTATTTATAAATAATCCCATAAAAATCATAGCAGCTAGGAGCAGGTAGGTTAGACGGTTCAACAGAGCTATGGCTCTGGGTGAGTTTGGCAACTGTATTAAAAAGATGTCTTGGATTATTCTTCTCTATGAATGAGGAGCAGTATGCTGCTCTTGCTTTACGAAGGGTCCTCTTATACAGCAGTGAACTATTTTTTTTCAGACTAGGTACGATTCCTGTAGGCATGTGGAGCGCGATTTTTCTCTCCAATTTTCTAGCCTCTTGCTTAAGAGTGCACAGTTCTGCATTAAACCAGGGAGCCAGCTTTCTGTCTGTTTTTTTTTTTTGAGTTTTTTTATTTTCAAAGGGGCTGGGTTGTCTCAAGCGCTGGTTATACTCCCTCAGCAGTGTGTCGCAGTGAGCTTGTTTCAGATATTTTTGATTTATGCCCAATTTTGAAGCATGGTCTGTGCCATGTTATTCCACGCCACCACACCACACTAGCTGTGGGTCTAGATACAGACGAGGCGGTGAGGAAGTGGAAAAACGCCATGGGCAAGTTTGTGCGAAAGCAGAGGGACATGAGGGCAAAAAGTATTAGGGATCCAGGTGGAAAAAGGGTCCCAGCATTCTCGCACACCTCGCTCTTCTAGCTAGTCCATCTTCATGAGTCCTTTTCCACAATGGCGGTCATACGCATGGTGTAGAGTGGATGTAGATTTGACCAATCAGATGCCTCCTCTCTGCGGTACCTAAAATTTTGGAGAGATGGAACAAAGTGTCTGCCGTAAGGGCCCAAAGCTTATCTGCTTTAACTGCGACACATGCAGTCGACCTGGTTTCTGAGCAGTAACCAGCCTTAAGGCAGTACCACAGAGAAGTAGCAACCCCAATAGGAAAATCATCAACCTGTAAAGGGGAATAAACTAAACGTTTGCACTCTGCAGCACTGCTCAGCAACACAGAGGAGAGAGAAAGTGAAACAGAATGTCTAAAATTTATAACTGCACTATCTGATAATGATCTGCTAAATTGAAATCTTCCTTTAACAGAGGAGAACTCTGTTAAAGTTAGACTTAGATTTATTTTGTCATTTTGTATGTGGGTTTCATATGGCCTTGGGACACCCAACGCTGGGAATGAAATGTCCTTAATGGAGGGACTGGTCAGAGAGGACAGGGTTGTGAGGAAATACTGTTATTGCTTCACATTCTATGCCAGCACAGGATCCAAAGTATGAAGATTAGAATGTGTGGGACATTTTGAACAAAGCCAATAGCATCTAAGATAGCATTAAAAGCTGATCTTAAGCTATCACCTTCAATGTCAGCATGGATTTTAAAATCCACCACTATGATAACCCTGTCAGTATTTAATACCAAATAAGAAAGGAACTCTGAAACTCAGAGTAAGGACCTGGTGGACGATACAAAGTTACAAAAAGAAGAGGTTTTCTTTGTTACGGCTGCAGTGGGTTTCTGCACTTTTCCTTGCAGGGTTCTGGGTGCAGGCCTTCTGCAGGTGATCCGTTTTGCCCTAATTGGTGCTCGTCTGCTTTAAAAGCTTTCATGCAAGCAGCAGACAGGAGGCTTCTCTCTCTTACCTCCTCAGAACCCCGTTTGGCTTGGTTTGGTTTGTATCCTGTCCTAGGGTTTGGTTTTGTTAGGTTTGGTTGCATTTGCCTATTTCTGTTTAGTTATTGGTATTGCAGTAAGCCATTTTCTGTTCCCCATTTTATTTATCCCATTTCAGGTATTGTAGATTTCTTTATTATAATTTAATAAATTTCATTTTCACTTTAAGAAAATCCTTGTGTGGTCTCCTTTAATGTTACCCCCACCAAACAAGCCTGGTGGACATAACATCTTGCTTTGCAATTTGGATGAGGGAAACTAAGGGTTAAATGTTCAAAAGACTTGTAATTACTAACTGCCTTTAGAGTAATCAGTAAGTCAGACTGAAAGATTGTTGCTACTCCTCCTCCTCGCCCAGAACTTCTTGGTATGTGAACATTTTAATAACTTGAAGGAGTTGCCTCATTTATGCTCACATAATCCTCTTGCTGCAGCCAAGTTTCTGTAAGGCAACATAATTCAAAGTGATAATCACAAATCAACTCATTAACTAGCAGACTTTTTAGGAAAGATCTTATGTTAAATAAACCACATTTAATCTTTTTAACTTTCCGCAATTGGAGTTATTTTAATTAGATTATCATGATTTACTCCTTTGGGAATCTTTTCTAATTGATTAGATTTTGGTCGTAGGCAAGACGCTGTCTGAACGGAGTAATGAGTGGGTAACAGTAGAGAAGCTGCAGAGACGTGTTAACCTTATCCTTAGCCAACAGTTTCAGGTGGGATTTCCCGTTACCCGTTCTGGCCCCCCCCGGCAAGCAATTGACTTTGGCCCATTGTGTCTCTAACGCCATGTTTTTTTGACTGTGAAGCTGCCAATTACCAGAGTGAACTTCTCGGGCCTACTGTAACACTTGGATGTTCAACAGCTGGAAGCCGAGATTCTAACTCTAACACCCTCGCAAAAGCTAAAAAAAAATACTACACTTATTACACATCCCATTATCCGTAAAGGAGGCAGAGGTATAAACAAATATCTGACACAAAGATCAGGAGAGAGGAGAGGAAGAAGAAAAAGTTGGAAAAGGGTCAAAGCAGGAAGGGAGAGAAAAAGCGATGCTAAGCTAGCGCTAGCCTAGGCTAGCCACTCCTTCATACCAGAAATAAAATCTTGTGAAAGCGACAAGTGCTCAGTAGAAAAGTGCTCATTGCCTGAACAGCAACTCAACACTCGGCAGTCAAAAACGAGAAGTGAACACGATATGTCTCACCACCAGCAGCAGCAGCACCCTCTAGTGGCAGGAGGAATTCTATATATATGTATCCTAAATGTTAGTTGGCCCTACAATGATCTATACTGTAGGTATTTGTGATTGTGTGCTTATAACAATGTGAACTTTTCAGAAAATAGTTATGCACATTTTCCAACATTAAGAATTGTAGTATGATCTAGATGAGGTTATCTAGGTGTGCTACACGTTTGGTGGCACTACAAGGATTTATAGTGTATTTATTGGCTATTTTACGCCTATGAAAAAAAAAATTGAGTTAAGCACATTTTCCTGTTAAGCTCTGGAGTGTGATCCAGGTGAGTTAATATATGTATCCTACACGTTTTTTAGGGACTGCAATGATCTATAGTGTAGTTATTGCTCATTGCATGCTTATTTTAATAATACAAAATGTAAAAGTGTAGGTGTTACTTAACTCAATGATAAAACCTGATTATAATAAACTCATTTTATCGAAAGCTATTTAATTTGAACACCAACCAGTTATATTAAAACGATTTATTTTCTATCCTACTTCTAGCAAAGGGGACTTAAATGAATATTTTTGCCATTTAGGCTTTGGGGAAATCCTAAAAAATTTAATGTATTCATTTCCAATCGTGAGATGTGAGATCAGATACACATGAAATGAATTTGTTAATAATCCACCTCTCATTTGTGACGCTGTTCTTCTATGATTATTTTCTGGTGTTTCTACTTGAAAACAGTCCCTTAGCATTTATGAACCGGCGGATTCTGCAATGAGTCCAATGCAAATCTCCCAGCGCTTTTGAGGGAGCTACTGTTGTAGCTCACTGTCTGCCTTGCTGTGGTTGCAGAGAGATGCCGGTTTTATAGAATAAATGGGCCGCAGAAGAGTTATCGATCCTGAGAAGCTAAATCTGGGAATATCTAAATCTACCGAGGTTAATCTGCATGCATGTTGGATAGTTGGGGTGTTAGAAATATGTTACAAACGGAGAGTCTCCATTGTGAGATTCATTTTAAATATTTAATTACCCATTTATTAAAGCCAGGTGTTTTGAGGTATAGGAACACCTAAAACACACTGCAAAGTGTGTCCTTAGAACCAGAGTTGAAGACCAGGTTAAGTCTTTGCCTTCAATGTAATAAACGTAGTGGTGTGTGAGCCTTTCATCGTGTCCAATTTGTCTTAATTTTATGCTGACAGCTCTGCAGGAGGAGATATCACAGCTTTGATGCAGTCATAGTCTTCTAGTTCATTACAGGATCACCTTATCTGATTGGTTGACACTTGCCTCAAACTGAAAAACTTCAGAACTTCAAACTGCAGAGTCAGTTTGGCTGCATGTCAACACTTGAAAGCTGTGCTTTCAATGTGCCCAATTCGCTGAACAGGTTAAACGGGCCTCAGGACCCCTCAGAGCCCCTGGACGCTCGCTAACCACAGTGTTTGCATGTAAACCAGGAGCCCCTTACACTCAAGTCATTTGGTCTGAATGCAGCATGAGGAAGAGACTAACATTCCTTTATTTCAATTCATTGAACATGTCAGATTTCCAGAGAAACCGTATTTTCTAAACTGGGATTGCAGTTATCAACCAGATATATTTAAGTGTTTCATCGCTCACCTTCAGCTGCTACAAGCAGGTAGCGGGAAATGACAGATATGTCTGCCATCAAGCTGATGATAGCGAGTAAACACTCCAACCACCCGCCTAACATGTAGCCACCGTGGCCTGTGGGTGGGGCTACGCTGCTTTGAAACCTCCAAAAGTCGTTTTAAAGTTGGCTCATTCTTGATTGACTACTGGATGAAGTTTGTAGGTCTACTTTCTCCCCTGAAAACATCTTGAATTATATTATTATCTTTAACTCTTATATTTCAAGACTTTGTTTACTCTGAGCCTTCTTTCACAAGTACCCAAGTCTACAAGTATAGACAAGTACAGAAATGTAAACATAAGGAGAGACACCCAATGTTTTCTTCAAAAAGAAATGAATGAGACTTTAGTTAAGTATCCTTGAGTTAATGGGCTGATCTTAATGAGGCTTCATAGGTTTCTTTACCCGACATGTTTGTCCACCTGCTCTGTAGACTTGTACACCTCCACACCTTCCCCCAAAGCTAGATGAGCATTTATGAAGCTACATTGGGGTCATAACGTTTGTTCAAAACCATTTTATTTTACTTTTAAAAAATTTAATTGGAAGGAATAAAAAAATGAAATTAAAAATTAAAAACTACAAAGATATATAAGAGAAAATGAAAAAAAGAGATTTTAATCTACCATCATACTATCCATCTTCTTCTTATCCATTAGGCTCTCAGTGGGGGTGGTTTCTACCTCCAGCAGTCTATGGGGGGAAGGTGGGCTACACCCTGAACCATTCAACTAAAAAATATCTGTAAAGTAGTTTAAACAAGCTTTGATGACAAAGTGGAGGTCCAAGCCTTTCTAGAGGACAGCGCAGCGTTGCCTGGTCCTTTCTAACCTGTGATGTGATGTCAGAGCTGCAGTGAATGCTGGGAAATGTAGTTCTACTCTGGTTATATGCAGCTTGATCAAAACATGGATGGTTAAAGTGAAGTGTCCTTTCTTTAACCTGCAATTCAAAGTCTTTCTGCGGTGTTTGTTTTTCCAGACCGCCTGCAGGATTATGTTGGAAAAGAAGAGGTTTTCTCTGAGCAGCAGTTCTCTGAACAGGAGAGGAATTGCAGTTTGGACCAAGCAGAACCAGAACCTCTGCAGATAAAAGAAGAGCAGCAACAGCCAGAACATCCCTGGATAAAAGAGGAAACCATGGAGCTCCACATAAGTGAGCACGAAGAGCAGCTTGTTGAGACTGGAGATACAGAAAGGAACCCTTTCCCATGTTTGAGATGTGGAAAAAGGTTTCTAAAAAAACAATATCTAATGGTTCACATTAGAACTCACACAGGTCGGAAGATTCACAAATGTTGGTCTTGTGGAAAAAGGTTTACCGGAAAACAATATCTTGCTAGACACATGAGAATTCACACAGGTGAGAAGTTGTTCTCCTGTGCTCATTGTGGCAAAAGTCTTACTACCAAACATAGCCTGACTTGTCACATCAGAATTCACAGAGGTGAGAAGCCTTTTAAATGTGTGTCCTGTGGAAAAAGCTTTACCCATAAAGGTATTTTTGATAGACACATTAGATTTCACACATGTGAGAAGACGGTCTCCTGTACTCTTTGTGGCAAAAGTCTTGCTAACAAACATAACCTGGCTTCTCACTGGAGAATTCACAGAGGTGAGAAGCCATTTAAATGTGTGTCCTGTGGAAAAAGCTTTACCCATAAAAGTACTCTTAATGGACATATCAGATTTCACACAGGGGAGAAGCCATTCTCCTGTTTCCTCTGTGGCAAAGGTCTTTTTAACAAACATATCTTGACTTCTCACATAAGAATTCACACAGGTGAGAAACCTTTCGAATGTTTGTCATGTGGAAAAAGCTTTATCCAAAAAGGCTCTCTTGATAAACATATCAGAATTCACACGGGTGAGAAGCCTTTTAAATGTGCGTCCTGTGGAAAATGCTTTACCCAAAAAGGCTCTCTTGATAAACACATGAGAATTCACACAGGTGAGAAGCCTTTTAAATGTGAGTCCTGTGGAAAAAGCTTTACTCAAAAAGGCAATCTTGATAAACACATCACAATTCACACAGGTGAGAAGCCTTTTAAATGTGGGTCTTGCGGAAAAAACTTTACTCAAAAAGGCCATCTTGATAAACACATCAGAATTCACACAGGTGAGAAGCCATTCTTTTGTACTCTTTGTGGTAAAACTTTTACCAGAAAGAGTGGCTTCACTTCTCACATGAGAATTCACAGAGGTGAGAAGCCTTTTAAATGTGGGTCCTGTGGAGAAAGCTTTACCCAAAAAAGCGCTCTTACGAATCACATCAGAATTCATACAGGTGAGAAGCCATTCTTTTGTACTCTTTGTGGTAAAAGTTTTACCAGAAAGAGTGGCTTCACTTCTCACATGAGAATTCACAGAGGTGAGAAGCCTTTTAAATGTGGGTCCTGTGGAAAAAGCTTTAACCGAAAAGACACTCTTGATAAACACATCAGAATTCATACAGGTGAGAAGCCAATCTTTTGTACTCTTTGTGGTAAAAGTTTTACCACAAAGAGTTGCTTCACTTCTCACATGAGAATTCACACAGGTGAGAAGCCTTTTAAATGTGAGTCCTGTGGAAAAAGCTTTACTCAAAAAGGCAATCTTGATAAACACATCACAATTCACACAGGTGAGAAGCCTTTTAAATGTGGGTCTTGCGGAAAAAACTTTACTCAAAAAGGCCATCTTGATAAACACATCAGAATTCACACAGGTGAGAAGCCATTCTTTTGTACTCTTTGTGGTAAAACTTTTACCAGAAAGAGTGGCTTCACTTCTCACATGAGAATTCACAGAGGTGAGAAGCCTTTTAAATGTGGGTCCTGTGGAGAAAGCTTTACCCAAAAAAGCGCTCTTACGAATCACATCAGAATTCATACAGGTGAGAAGCCATTCTTTTGTACTCTTTGTGGTAAAAGTTTTACCAGAAAGAGTGGCTTCACTTCTCACATGAGAATTCACAGAGGTGAGAAGCCTTTTAAATGTGGGTCCTGTGGAAAAAGCTTTAACCGAAAAGACACTCTTGATAAACACATCAGAATTCATACAGGTGAGAAGCCATTCTTTTGTACTCTTTGTGGTAAAAGTTTTACCAAAAAGAGTAGCTTCACTTCTCACATGAGAATTCACAGAGGTGAGAAGCCTTTTAAATGTCGGTCCTGTGGAAAAAGCTTTACCCAAAAAAGCGCTCTTACGAATCACATCAGAATTCATACAGGTGAGAAACCATTCTTTTGTACTCTTTGTGGTAAAATTTTTACCACAAAGAATAACTTCACTTCTCACATGATAATTCACACGGGTGAGAAGCCTTTTAAATGTGGGTCCTGTGGAAAAAGCTTTAACCGAAAAGACACTCTTGATAATCACATCAGAATTCATACAGGTGAGAAACCATTCTTTTGTACTCTTTGTGGTAAAAGTTTTACCACAAAGAGTGGCTTCACTTCTCACATGAGAATTCACACGGGTGAGAAGCCTTTTAAATGCGAGTCCTGTGGAAAAAGCTTTACCCAAAAAAGCGCTCTTACGAAACACATCAGAATTCATACAGGTGAGAAGCCATTCTTTTGTACTCTTTGTGGTAAAAGTTTTACCACAAAGACTAACTTCACTTCTCACATGAGAATTCACAGAGGTGAGAAGCCTTTTAAATGTGAGTCCTGTGGAAAAAGCTTTACCGAAAAAAGCACTCTTACGAAACACATCAGAATTCATACAGGTGAGAAGCCATTCTTTTGTACTCTTTGTGGTAAAAGTTTTACCACAAAGACTAACTTCACTTCTCACATGAGAATTCACACGGGTGAGAAGCCTTTTAAATGTGAATCCTGTGGAAAAAGCTTTACTCAAAAAGGCAATCTTGATAAACACATCAGAATTCACACAGGTGTGAAGGCGTTCTCTTGTACTCTTTAAAAAAGAGTTTTGCTAGTAAAAGTTTTACTGGCAAAAAAAGCTTGATTTTTCACACAGGTGAGAAGCCTTACAAATGTCTGTCCTGTTGAAAAAGTTTTTCTCAGACATCTTATCTTACTAGTCACATCAGAATTCACAGCAGGTGAGAAGCCTTTCTCTTGTATTAGGTGTGGGTAAAGTTTAAATTGAAATGATAATTTGACTTCTCACATATCAACTCATGTGAGAAATGTTTTCCATCCATGAAGCTGATCTAAAAACAAAGATTTATTGATTCCCATAAGAAGTCTCAGCAGTTAGACGCCACAGATATGGACAGGAGAGACCTTTCCCAGGTTTTACCCGTGATAGAAAGCCGTAAAACAGTGAGACATTTGTTTGTTTGAAGAACTGAAAAAGTTTTGAATTGTTTCTGTTATTTAGTTCAAAGTTGATATTATTGCTGATCTATTTGAATCTGCTAGAACTAGGTAAAAAGACTTTTTATCTGTTTCTTTTATTTAATCAAGTTTTTATTTTATATTTTACAACTGTTAAACAGTGTTGCCCTACTTTTAAACAATGATGTGAGCATCCCTGCTGTGTATGGCCCTATCTGGGCCATAGTGATAAAATTGAAAAGTTAGAAATTAAAACAATTACTTGCCTGTAAAAAAGTTAACATTGTTCACCAGAGTCGGACGATTAGTTAAAATATCAATGGATCAAGATTGAAAGTGTTTCTTTGCACTAGAATTGATCATTTGGAACAAGGTTCAGACATTGGAGAGAGATTTGACAATATTTCCATTAAATGTCAGATTCAAAGTCTGTATTGATTTTTACTTGAAAATCATTTTTTTTAATGTTTCTTCTTTTTAAAGATCTTTCACAGTAAAATGTTTGAATTATTTTCAATAGTTTTGTATCTGATTCTGTAGATGTTTTAATAACCTTCTGTGATTTAGAGAAACTATTGTCTGTTTTATAGAACTAGATTTTATTGCATTGTTTTCTGCACTGGATGTTTTCCATGAATGTATTCACTTCTAGATTGATGAACCAAGCAGAAATTAAAACATGGATTGTAAAAATAGCTTCTTTATATGGTTTCATGTAAGTCATTAACAAAATGTTTTTGTTTTTTCTCTGATATTTTTAAACAACCTAAATCTATATTATGACTGTTTAGTGGTATGCAAATGCTCGAACAGACCACAGTTTGAGACTGGAGGATCAGCTGTCTATGCAGGTAGTCATCTGCACCTCAGGGGACACTACTATTACCATTCCTTTTTGCTCTGTCCACCTCTGACCCTTGGTAAGACAGACCTCAGGGCTTACCAGGGTAAAGGCCTAAATAAAGGCGAGGAGGAGGAAGAGTACAAAATCTTTCCCGTCTGATTTACTGATTACTCCAAAGGCAGTTAATACTTATTTAATTTTTTTAACATTTAACCTTTAATTTCCCTCATCCATATTTTTAAAGCAAGAAAACCCTTTCTTTTTTTAAAATTTGGGATCATCCACCAGGCCCTTAAATCTGAATTTTTAGATGAGTTTTCAAAATTCCTTTTTGATTTGGTATTAAATACTGACAGGGGCATCATAAGGGAGGGTTTTAACATCCCCTTTCTGGGGCTTGAAGGCGATAGCTTAAGAGCACCTTTACTGCTATCTTAGACACTATTGGGTTTGTTCAAAAAATGAAAAAGTCCCACACATTCTCATCTTATACTTTTTGGGTCTTGTGCGAAAATACCCGGCATAGAATTTTGAAGAAATAACAGTAAATTTTCCCCAAACCCTGTCCTCATGACCCCTTTCTTTAAATAACCTTCAGGGTTACTCTAACAAGTTCTCCTCCCCCCCAAAAAGGTTTTAATTAAAAGCAAAATCATTAACCCGATGTGCAGCTATACATTTTTTAAAATATCTGTTTCACCTTTTTTCCTCTGTGGGCGTGGGGCAGTGCTTTCCGAGTGCAAAAGCTTAGTTTATTTTCCCTTTACAAGTTTTATGATTTTGTTGATGGGATTGTAGTTCTCTGCTTTTTGCCTTAGGGGCAACGCAGTCCCCCGAAAAAAAGAAAACAATTTAAAAAAAGAAAGCTTGCCCTTGGGTTTTTAAGCCGGCTGTCACTTTGAAGCAAAAAGTAGGGGAAAATGAGAGGAAATATCGCTCCACCCGGGCCCCCAAAATAGTTTTGGAAAAATAGTTTTTTGCTGTATTAGAGGACCCCTTTTTAAAAACAAGGGGGCAGCATAATTCTCCTCATTAATAGAGGAGAATAAGAATAAAACCTAGATTTTCTTTTTTTAAAACAGGTTTCCCAAAAACCCCCCGAGCCAAGGCTTTTTGTTGAACCCTCCATTCCCCCCTGCTCTTTTGCAGCAATGAATTTTTTGGGGTTCTTTTTAAATAAAAATTGATCTTATTAAAAAAAAAAGTCATAAGCACCCCCTCATCCCCCAATTGTTTCTGAGGGTTTGTCAGGAATCGAACCGGGTTTAGAATTTCTTTTATCAAAGTTTTAACTTTTTAAAAGCTGGCAAAAAAATATAGTCTTTATCTAAAAGTTCCCAAATTGGGGTTTTAGATCCGTTTTCCCAAACCCGGTTTTTTAAGGAAAGGGATTCCCTTTTGATTCCTCCTCCAATTTTTGATGTGATTAAAACTATCTCTGTTTTCAAGGGGTATGTAAACCCAAAGCTTTTAATTTGCTGTTTAAATTAAAAACCCTTTTCTTTAAAAAACCGGGCTCTTGGGCCCAGATGACTTGGTCAATTATAGCCTATTTCCAAAACTTCCTTTCTTATCCAAAAAATTTTTGAGAAGTAGTTTCCCCAAAAAAGTGTTTGAAACACTTAAAAACCAAATGAAATTTTTTTAAGGTTTTTCAGTCTGGTTTTAGGCTCATCATAGCACTGAAAAAAAGCTCTGGTGGAAAATCACTAAAGATATTCTCTGGCCTCAGAAATGGACTTGTATCGGTCGTCTTGTTGGATTTTTTATGCTGCAATTTTTTACAGTTGACCCCTAAAATTCTTTTTTGAAAGACTTGAATTTTGTTGGAATTAAAAAGGGAAAGCACTAGACTGGTTTAAATCTTATCTTTCTGATCGAATTCAGTTTGTTTATGTTAATGATAGATCTTCAACACGCTCAAAGGTTACCTGTGGAGTACCACAGGGATCAGTGCTAGGACCAATTCTCTTTACTTTATACATGCTCCCAATTGGTAGAGTTATTAGACAGCATGGGATTAATTTCCACTGTTATGCTGATGATACCCAGCTATATCTCTATAATCCAGATAAAGCTAACCCATTCAATAAATTACAGGCATGTCTGAAGACATAAAAACCTGGGTAACTTTATCCTTCTGAATGCAGACAAAACAGAAGTTATAGTCTTTGGACCAGAGTCTTTGAAAAAGAAGCTGATTAGCCAGTCACTTCATTTGGATGGGATTAAACTGATTTCAGATAATAAGGTAAAAAATCTTGGTGTTGTTTTTGATCAGGACCTGTCATTTAAATCCCAGATCAAAGAGGTTTCTAGAATTTCCTTCTTTCATCTGAGGAATATTGCAAAAATGAGAAATCTCCTGTCCAGGGGTGATGCTGAGAAACTAGTCCATGCATTTGTTACTTCAAGGCTTGACTATTGTAATTCTTTACTATCAGGAAGTCCACAAACTGTAGTTAAAAGCCTTCAGCTGATCCAAAATGCTGCAGCCAGAGTTCTGATGAAAATTAAAAAGAGAGATCATATCTCGCCTATCCTGGCTTCTCTTCATTGGCTTCCTGTTAAATCCAGAATAGAATTTAAAATCCTCCTTCTCACATATAAAGCCTTAAATGGCCAAGCTCCATCTGATATCAGAGATCTGATTTTTCCTTATGTTCCTAACAGAGCACTTCGCTCTCAATCTGCAGGTTTACTAGTGGTTCCTAGAATATCTAAAAGTAGAATGGGAGGCAGATCTTTTAGTTATCAGGCTCCTCTCCTGTGGAACCAACTACCAGTTTTAGTCCGTGAGGCAGACACCCTGTCTACTTTTAAGGCTAGGCTTAAAACTTTCCTTTTTGATAAAGTTTCTAGTTAGAGTGGCTCAGGTTATCCTGATCTATCTCTATAGTTCTGCTGCTATAGGCTTAAGGCTGATTTATACTTTGAAACTAGGTCCTCTGCATAGGTGTTGCATTGCACAAAAAGCTGTCCCCGCCTCCTCCGCAGACTCTCTGCTGCACCTCTCCCAAACTGTAGGTGACCGCAGACAGTGCAGCAGACAGGAGGGTGGCTTGTTTTGTTTTATGACCAAAATTGCGGAAAACAACTCATGAATTTTGACAAGCTAGAAGATTGAGGTGCGCAAGGACGCCGGGACTCGTTTTCCACTTGGATCCCCCCTTTTTTTCGCCATCATGTCCCTCCATTGTCAGACTAAACTCGCCCCCACTTCCTCATCGCCTCGGCCGTATCTAGACCCACAGCGTATAGCACAGACCACGCTTCAATGTTGAGCATAAATCAAAAATGTCTGCATCAAACTCACTGCGACACACTGCTGCAGGATGATAACTAGCCCTTTAGACTTTTGGAGGACATAGGGACCCCTTTTTCATCATTCTGCTTCATTCTATCTCTATTCTCCCACTCTGCAGAATCTGTTAGTTCAATCTCTAACGTTCTGCTCTCTCTGCTTTTTCTCATAGTAGCTTCATCTGGTCTGTTCCTGTTTGGCTGTGACTCCATCCTGGAGAGAAATATCAGCTGTGCTGCTGCCATCAACACCTTTGTTTCTAGATGTTGGAGCTTGGCCTGTTTTCCAGTGTAGTCCCGTTTCTCTGACTGTGACTAACTGGATGTGCTCTCTTCATCCTCTGACATGGGAGCTGCCTTGGAGCTCGTCTGCCTGGCTGTGTGTTTCCTGGACGGGGCCGCCTTTTACAGTTCCTTTTTGTGTCTCTGCTTCTGTCTCCTTGAACCCCAGTGGGCCTCAGCAGATGGCCGCT